TGGGGAATTCTGGGAGTTGAAGTCCACACATCTTAAAGCTGCTGAGGTTGAGAAACACTGATCTAGAATCACAGATTAAACTACTCTCACAATTAATGAGACAGAAACTAATCATTTGCCAGGGTGGGTACGATACAGAGGCCCTTACGGCCAACCCCCTCTTCCATATGACTGAGCCAACTCTCCCTTGGCTTAACTGAATATGTTGAAACATCCTTACTTTCTTTTGCTCTGGTTTTTGAGTACAGGTAGTCCCCACTTTAAGGACGGGTTCTGTTCCCAAGGTCTGTCCTTAAGTCGAATTTGTACGTAAGCCGGAACAGTATTATTGTATAATACTGTATAAGTAATATTGTATAATGAACTTGAACCGTTGTGTATTTAACTCGAATCATTGTGTATTTAACTTGAATTTTGCTACCATAGGCTCTATTATTAATTATGGGTTGTTGTAAACCGGGTGTTCTTAACCTGGGGACTACCTGTAACCTCAACTAAATGAAATGGAAAGAGAATGCTTTCATGGTGGGCAACCAGCTTGGAGTTGGACTGCTCTATTTGTTTGTATGTTTGTTTGTTTATATTTCAAATTTAATCACTGCCCATCTCAATGTGTGACCTTAGTCTGCATCTCAATCATGCAAACCCAAGTTTCTTCTTGTACAAATAATTCAATTTTTATTTACACCACCCAGAATCATTCTGGCTGAGCCAGTGTTCAAATATTTTAAAAATGAATGAATGAATGAATGAATGAATGAATGAATGAATGTCAACAGCACACAAATGAATGAACAAATATGAAAAATGAAGTCAGCAGCACACATATGAGTGAATTAATGAATTAACCAATGAGCTGGCTGGGTACCATTTTCTTATTCTGTACAGTCCCATTTCTTAATTCCATTTGTGATAGGTCTGAATTTCCTTAGCACATATTCAAGCGGACACTGTCTTCTTGTTTTCTCATATATGTGTGCTGTTCACACCTCATCAACTCTACTTTTAGGCATTCCTGTTGCCAATTTGATGACCCCATTTAGCTTTCAAAGCATCAAAGTTTAAAGCAAAGGAATCTCCAGAGTGTGCTACTGAAGTATGGCAATAAATACAGAGAAGTCTGTTGGTCAACAAAGTTCCCTGGCAATTGAGGTGTGGACTTTGTAGACCCCCTGTTGTCACTGGCAATGCAGATGTTCTGGTGAAACTCTGCCCAAAGAATCAAATGGAACAATTGTTGTATTAAAGGCCTAAAACTACTACAGTGAGTCATCAGAGCCTGTACCCAAGGCGAAGAGTGCCAGGAAAAGGTTCACGGAATTCTTCTGTAGAAATTTAATACAGTATAGAAGGACAGGTAGACAGGGGCTACATCTTGCTATTAATTGAAAACTCGTGCTCCTATATGATTAAGATGGTTCTGGTTTGAGCTCCGAATCTGCCCACAAAGCAGATCCAGAGGTCCATTTTTTCTGCTCCCTCCAACCTTTCTCCATTGCACCTGTTGAGTGGCTTGAGAACCAGTGTGGTTTAGCGGTTAAGGAGTTGGACTAGTTATGGGGAGAACCAGGTTCTAGTCTCCCCTCAGCCCTGGAGGGACTTAGGACCAGAGCTTGTCCCTTAGCCCAACCTCTCTCACATTGTTATTGTTGTGTAGGAAAAAATAGGAGGAGGGAGCACTCTATATTCCACCTTGAGCACCTGAATGAGAAGGAGATTATGAGCTAAATGTTCTTATTCTTTGAACATCGAAGCTCAGGAATGAGCTGGGTGGTTCTTGAACAGATTCTGTGAGTGGAGAGGCAGCCAACTAATCAATCTGTTTCTTATTTAGTTCATCAAGCCCCAAGAGAAAAAGGAAGGAAGGAAGAAAACACAAGAAACAGTAAGTTGAGAGACGTTGGCTGGGAAGACATCAGTCTGGTAGGCTAAACTGTGCCTGCCTTTCCATGCGTACGTGATGGGCGAGTGGGTGGCTTGATCAACACAAGCTGTGAAGCTGTACCAAGACTGCCTCTCTTTTTCAGCATATCTGCTGAAGGAAAGCAAGAATTACCCCAAACCATCTCCTTGTTGATAGGAAGAGATTTTTTTTTCTTAAGTTGACCACGTTGGTTCCTCACCAAGTCTGGAGGCCTTGGTGAAAAATTGGCAGCATGGAAACCCCAACTGCTGTCTGTCACTAGGGCCCTGTAGAGCGTGATCAAATCAAGCCCATTTTTATCCATTAAAAAAAAAAAGGCTAGGTTTTTCTCTGAAACTTTCCCTAAGATGCAAAGCGTTTGTCTATATAATATTATTACATTAAATCAATAAAGAATATGGCATTCCATAAATAAAATAAAATAAAATAAAATAATATTACATTATATTAAATAAGTAAAGAATATGGATAGTCAAGAAATCGTACTGATAATCAAGAAATAAAATAAAATGTATTTTATCATATCATAATATAATTAATTTTAATAACAATAACAATAACAATAACAATAACAATAATAATAATAATAATAATATCTGCTGATGTACTTGCTCACTATTCTAAATTAACTGAGCAATTTTTTTAATCACCAATTTCCCTGATAATCATTCTTGGTTATGTCAATTTTTTTTTAATGCAGGCTCTGCGCTTCTCACTTTGTACGGACTTATTCTTTCGTGCTTGTGACTTTCCGAAAGATATGTTCTTTGTCAAATGTAGCTCTGATGAAGAAAAGCTTCTCTGGCCAGATTTGGGATGAGTGAAAGAAAGGCTTCAGCACATTCTTTTCCGTGTAGCTGGCCATGCCATAGCAAAGTCCATTTTGGTGACTCTCACAATAGGAACTTCTGCAGGGAGCATCAAAAAAGTCAAGATGGAGACACAACTGAGCAATCAAAGCCTTGTTCCTGGCTTTGATTACATCTCCATCTTGACTTTTTTGACCCCCACCTCCCCAGGTCATTTGTCCTTGTCTTACAAATCAACTCTCCTTGAAATTCATGGCAGGTCTCTTCTACACCTCTACCAAGGATCTCAGTCAGTTCATGGCCTTCCACAGGGGGATAAGGGAGGACAAATGACCACGCATGCATGATGATGTCATCACACATCACCATTACATCATTGCATTCTTCCATTGGAGGTTAGAATGCAAGTATGTAAATAGCAACTTTTGTGTGTGTGCCATTTTGACATCCTTACAGATTTCTTCATTTGCCACTACTGTGACCTTCAGGTTATTTTCCTGTATTATTTGGGGGAATAATGGGAATGTGTTCCTCAAGAAATGGTTTAATTTGGATTTCTCACTGAGCAAGGGGGTTGGACTTCATGGTTTAAGTGGCCCCTTCTAACAGGATTTTGTGATATGACTTTTGAGTTATATTCATCCAGCCTCTTTGCCTCGGTGAATTCATTAATTTTAATTAATTGGTTAGATTAACTAATTAAAGTGATGCTGAGTAATCTGAAAATGGGGTAAATTGCAATAAACAAATCTGGGTTAACTATGGGCTGAACAAAAATGTTTATGGCAGAATTAAACAGAGAAATATTTCATTAAAGCTCTTGATGCAAGTTGGAGCTTCTAGAAATGGATTGATTGCAACATTCTGGATATAACTCTGACATTCGGGCAGAGAATGTCATTTGACCATGCAGTTGTATTTTGTCAATCCAGGTTTAAGATTTCATGTGAAGCCAGCCAGAGTACTAAAGTCAGGCTCGCAATATGGACAAAACACTGGGAAGTTTCTAGGAGAGATGGAAAATCCATCTTGTCCACACAGACCTCTAGGAATTTAACTGTTAGCGATTTGTTACCAAGATTGATTGCCTTTTAGTGTTGGGAGATTCATAAGCCGGAATGTCCAATTCCTTGTTTTTGTTCCTGCAGAGTATGTATTAGTTTCTTTCATTCCCTTGTTCTCTCAAAAGCTCTCGTAGTCGACCGCAAAAATCCCGACGCCATCATCACCGTTCTACCTCAGACAGCACCAATTCTCTATCAGAGAGCTATGGGAGCCGGTAAGCAATCTTCCACTTTTCTGAAATTGTCCAACTTCACTCCCTGTTTTGCAAAGTCAGCTAGTATTGAGAAAGCTTTCTTTAATTTAACCACAGTGTAGGAAGAAGATGAAGAGAGGGGAGGGAAAGGAATAACCTCTGAGAGCTGCTTCACAAAAGAAGGAACACGCAAGAAAGACAATGGGAGTCTACTTGCTTTGAATTGCCTATATATAGGTGTCTTATTTAAGAGTAAAAACACTTGCTAGAATTCTTTTCTTGCCATTTTAACTTTTCCTAATACATCTTTTTAATTCAACTCAAAGAGACTCGTTCCTTGGATTGAATGTTTCCCACCCTGAATGTTGCTAAAAAAGTCTGAAGTAACTCAAAATTCATTGAAGCTCCTACTATTATTGCTAAGTTTACCTCCAAACAAAGCTACTGTGTCAAGAGTTGTTGTCCTTGTTGGAGTTGTGGGCTCCATCACTCCATCTTGTGAAATGTTGTAGGCACTAAGAAAAATAAGACTTTCTTAAAAATATAAGAACTCGCATGAGATAGCAAAATCACAGGAGCACTGGGAGATCCATTGGGAATGTGATATTCTGGTGGCGATGTTGCTGAAAATGTCAATAATATGGGAGGGTGGGGACCAGCCATAATCATCAGGAGACAATTTACAGTTGGAAGTGACTCCTATTTTGCTGTCACTGTAAATACAATTCATTATTAGCCATTCCATATCAAGTTACTAGGAGAATCTAACCAAATCTGAGCTGGCCAACAGGAGCTGAGGTGCTGAAGATATTAATCTCTCCTCCAAGATCTCATACAAGGAGTTGGAATCTCAGGAGATGTGGCAATTTCATGAAATTTCCACATTACTATTATTGTTATTGCAATTACTAAATTTACAGGTTCTGCAGATGCTATTTAAGAATGTCTGTGCTATGTGAAGAGGAGGAAACTTTAGTTTGACAGACATTGTTGCCTTAGGCTGAGGACCAAATTCCAGGATGAAGGCCGTAAAGGTAGACCAGGGCATTCGCGGCACTCTTCAAAGAGGACTTCTCACCCAGATGATGCAGGAGAGTTGGCTGGGAGCCCATTCCTTGGCTGCACCCTGCAGAACAATTACTTTCTCTCCACCACTGAACTTGTAAGTACCCCCTGTCCACTAAATCACTCAGTTTGGGGCTCAAGGGATCTGTATGATTTGTTGAAGGCTCCATTCCTTTAGTTAGACTCCAGCTTGTTTAAAGTCACATTCTTTAGTGAAAACATACATTTTTTTTTTCTTTGCCCATCAGGTGGAAGTAAGGAAGAAAAGATGGGGATGGGCCTGTGGGGAGGGACATAGAGAGAGAATGCTTATGCTCTCGACCATGAATAATAAAGAGGAGACATTTATGAAAGTAGTGGCCTCTAGCTTTGATATTTGATGAGATGTGTTTTTATGTACCTCTTCTGCTCGGTGTCTGATTCCCTGCCGGCTCTCTTCTGCACCTATTCTCTCCATCTTGGAGGCATAAAAGATTAAACCTATAAAAAGAAACATTTCCATGAATGTAATTGCAGCAAGAAGTGAGAGAGAGGAGGACAGAAGGGGAGAGGTGAAGCAGCCTTTGCTGGTTCCAAACTCACCATCCCTGTGGTGACCAGTGCCGGCCAATCTCATGGATGCAAGGAGATGGTATGTGAGCATCCAAGGAGGAAACATGGAACTGGACCTTGGTGGCATTTATTTCCTTACCCAAGGAGATCGGCAGTGCCAACTCCAGGTCAACCTGCACTTTTGATAGAGGTCAGAATTTGCTTGCGCTCAAGGTGTGTCCAGATAAGTCTGCTTCCAGTAGTCACTTGGGCCTTTCCAAGATGAAAGGGAAGAAGAAAAACAAATACCTACTCTCTTTAAAGAGCTTTTGTTTTCTTGCAAAAGCTGGGGCATTCTCATAGCTTCAGAACTGTTCCAATTAAAACAAGAGGGAAAAAACTGCGTCCTTCTATAGATATAGGTTTTCTCCTACTTTGGAGCTGTGATGGTGCTGTTGGAAATGACTCTTTTGAATGAAATAAAATGAGAGAGAGCTTCTTCTGTCTTCCACCGACCAAGGAAACTGGACACCCCATGATCAATAAAAACACTTCAGTGGGATTTTATACATCCAAAAATTAGAGGTGGTTGGCCTGTTTTATCCAGTAATCTTTAAGGGAATCCTTGTTATGGTACAAACACCACTTCTATACCTGATACAATCCAGATTGTGTTTCTGCAAGATTCTCCCTTTTAAGACCAAAGGAAGCACAAATGGCTTAAATGCCATTTGGCTTAAATGCCACTTTTTAAATGTTTTCCTCTCCTTTTTTTCTGGATTTTAACCCTTTCATGAAGAATTCTTGGAAATTCACATTTTTTCAGCCCTTCTGTTGGCCTAATAATAATTTTGCCTCAATTGGGATTTTAGGAATTTTTTCTCTCTTGCAGTCAACCTGATGGCTTTCTATTTTTATAAGGCCAAAAATATTGACAAAACTGCTAAGCTTTAGCCTATGTTTGTTGTTTTAAGTATTACTACTCTGGCATCAGCAGGTGGCGGTAGATGGCTTTGTCTGAGCTTGGAAGCTAAGCAGGGTCAGACCTGGTCAGTCATTGGATGGGAGATGAGCAGGGAATGTTGGGATTGTTGGCTCAACTACAAAGTAAAAAAAAAAATCACCAAGAAAACAGTGACAAATCACTTCCATGCTGTAGCCAAGAAAATTACATAGACATTTCCATGAAACCCTTCGAAGCCAAGTTTGATCTGAAGTCTTTATTATCATTCACACTTCACCATATCTTCCTGATATGTTTGCATGCCAAGTTAGAAATACTGAGCTAATTAAAAATAAATGAGACATATCTTTAAAAAAAACAGGGCTTCAATCATATAGTCACAGCTGCCATCTTGATTTTGTCAACCACCACACAAATGTCCCCATGGGGATCAGCTCAGTTCAAATTATAGCCCAGGGTTTCTCAACCTTGGCAACTTTAAGACGTGTGGACTTCAACTCCCACACGTCTTAAAGTCATCAAGGTTGAGAAACACTGCTATAGCCCCTATAAATACTTTGTCTCAGGGCTATAATCAGTAAACAATTTCAGTGCTACAATGAAAAGTGGACGGTTTCATAAGTTGCATTTTATCAGGGAATATGTGCCCAGGGGGGCACTTGTTGGGTGGGGCTGAACCATGTGATAGGAGGAGCCAGAGTTTTAAGTGAGTGGGGCTATCCATACTCTTTCCACTGTTCCTTCTTTTTTGCACCCTCTTCTCTGTTCCTCCAGCAGCAGGCCACCGAGGAGGGACAGAGAATTCTGTCTGATCCAAGGACATCCACAGAGGGAGGTGAACAAAGTCAATATAGCAGCTGTGACTGCACAATCAAAGCCCACCCCCTTTTAATCCGTTACCTACGTAAAAAGAGGAGGGGCTTCAAATTCACAATGATGACCATCATCTTGAGATTTTTCATGCCAGCTGTGGATGTCCCTAGTGGGATCCTATGCACAGGTTTGTTGAAATTTGGACAAGAATCAGATGAGTGACCAAGGGGGTGTAGGTGGCCTTCTCTTATCCTAAGAGCATTGGGTCCTTTCTCCTTCTCAAGTTAACCAAAATCTGAGCATCTTCCAGGTGTCATGTTAGAGCAGAAAGCATTCAATGGGGATGGAAGAGGGAAAGGAGGAAAAAGATTATTTCAATATGTCACTGCTTTGGGTTCCTTTCCAGCATACTGCTTCACATCTGCATAGTGATCTTTGCTCCAACTTACTTTCTCAGCCCCAGTGCACTCTTGTTCCCATCCCAAAATGAACCAGATGTAGAACAATTAGAAGGTATCTTGCGTTATTAACTGGCTGACCATCAGCTCTTCAGATGAGGTGCCACAGAATGTTCAGGGACATTCCAGCTACTCAGAAGTTTGTTCTTCTCACCTTCTAGCAGCACTTAAACACTGAAGAGATTGGCGCTTTGGCAGAAAAAGTAGTATTGTGATGTGCTGATAAAACTGGAGATATCATTCTTGGGTAATCATTCTTGGGTAGCCCATTGGTATGGTTCATTGGGACTAACGTATCAGCCACTTTCCCACAACTTCTATGAATATTGTGAATTCTCCATCTCTGGAGGTTTCTAAAAAGAGGTTGGACAGCAACTTCTAATAGATGGTTTAACTGGTTTTCCTGCATATTGTAGCAGGTTTGACTAGATGATCCTTGTGATCCCTTCTGACTCCACAATTCTATGAGGACCCCTCCCCTCTCTCCCCCCCCCCCCCCAGTTATGAACTTCTACAACAGGGAAAGTGGTAGAAACCAACCTACCATTTTTCCTGCAACAGCTGATTCAATGTAGTTCCAGAAAACTAGAGGACTTAAAAGAATAGGTGGCCTCTCAAAAACCAGGTCCCTCTACCAGTGGTGCTAACAGGGTGCAGTATCAGACATAAGTCCTGGGTGTTTCAGTCTAAAAGCCCCCTTACTCTTCTTTTTTTAACCAAAAAAAAGTAGAAATCATGTTCTGTCTTTTTTCTCCAAGCCTAACTGCAGTTTGGTTCTGCAAAATGGTACGTTTAGAGCCTGAAATAAATTCTCATCCTAAACATCTGGATGTTCATCCTTTATCAGTTAAGGAATACCCCCTTCACCAGTTTACCAAAAAGCCATGAGGAAGAGGCTGGGAACATCTCCACCTTAGAAACCTGGGAAACAAATTGGATTCTAAAGGGAAAACAACCTAGTTGCTGAGGGTTCTGTAACTTAACCCAGGCCTTCTTCAATAAATTTTGGCAAAGAAATGCTAGAAGAATCTGCAGGTAGGACACAGAAAAACTTGAGATTCCGCCACACTTCTCATTTCTTTTAAAGGCAACAGTAGAGCAGAAAGAAAGGAAGGCTAGCAAGTCAACCATTCAGCCTTGCCAGCACCCTGAAATCCATATCAGGTAAACAAAGGGGGAAACACTTTTCAGTTTTCACCCAAACCTGACCGTTGATAAAGTGTTGGATTATGAAATTATCCATCCTGATGAAATATCAAGTCATCTCTGGTCATGGACAGAGTAACATGGATAGGCTTTATGTTCCCTCAGTACTGGAGTGCAACATCTAGCTCCAAATGAGCAGCTCAGTTTGGAAAAGAGATTGGATTTGGATTTTGGGATTGATTCGGAAAATCCAACCGCATGACGGTGGACCTTCAAACCGGCTTCTGCCGGGCTTTTTGCATATGCCCAAAACAAACCCCTGGGTCCACCTCTGTTTGGACCAATGCAAAGGCATCTGATTTAGTTGGACCTTTCAAATGGCTTTCCTTGGAGATCCAGTTTGGAAACTTGAGTGGATTTATCGAGTCAAATCACCTTCCGTTCCAATTTCCAGCCAAATCTCACGAGGGCATTGTGGTGGTGGGGAAATGGAGGCGTGAAGGCTAGGTAGACACAGCCTTGAGCTCCTGGCAGAAGGTACATCTAACAAATAAATAAATATTCCTACAGCTATACAAGAAATCAATACTGTGGATGTCTTCTCTGTACACAGATTTTGTGGGCCAAAGCAAGGTAGAGTACGTCTGTGTAAAGTTCAGCCTGAGTGTGAAAGAATAAGGAAGGAACTTCAAGGACCTTATAATTCAACTTATTAGTAGAGCTCTCCAGATCCTTTGACACATGGGCTTCATAGTGTGCGGAAGCATTTATGAAGCACATCTTTTGAAATCCTTGGCTCAGCTGCTTTGCAAGCTGGTGCTGGGGTCTCCACCCATACAGAGGGCCTATTTTAAAGGCAGAAATCTTAATTTGGAAATAGGAGTTTAAAAGACAGAACAAGGCACTAGAGATATAGAGATGATGTTGTACGGCAAGATTGCTGTTCTATCCGGTTCAGCCCCCAAATTTACCCTTTTTCTCCAAGGTCCTGTTTGATGCGCAATAAACAACGCTCTTCAGCTTAATTGAAAAGCTCATTGCAATGGTGCTTAAGCAAGCATCTTACGATCTGCTGCTTCTTGAGCAAAACGTTCAGTGCAAATTAAAACCCGAGGTGAAAGTGAAGACTGTTGGTTCTCATTCGTTATCTGGACTTCCTTCTGCTTCCTCAGTGAAATTAATCCCCCAAGGCTGTTTGAAGCTCTCGCATTCTCACACCCATGTACTAAAACCGGAACAAGGGGAAACCGTTTTCATGAGAGAGGAAAATCTAAACTGGGTTATCATGTTAATAAATAAATAAACGCAGCATCTACATTTGTTGAATTAATAGCATTTGTTTAAAAAAATGAATGAATGAATGAATGAATGAATGAATGAATGAATGAACTAACGAACGAACGAACGAACTGGTAGAAACTCTCTGAGGGCTGTAATGGTATGTGGGAAAGACCTTGGGAGACTGAGCCAAGAAATGCTGCCAGGGGAATGGTCAGATAAGAGACAGCATAGCCCACAGATGGATAATGGATGGGGCAAGAGGCTCAGAAGGGATCATCCCTTGTTTCTTGGGCTGTAAAGGAGACAGTGGGAGATTTGTACTTTCAGACTTGCAAGATTGATGTCAGCCTTACCAGGTAGTCAGGAAACATGATCAGATGAGCTAATTCTACTTTAATGTAAAGCTATATTAACAGAATCTTGCAAGTCTGAAAGTCTTCCCTAGGCAGCATCTCTTTGCCCCATCTCCCAAGGTCTTTCCCACATACCATTACAGAGCTGAATATGCCACTTTCATCTCCAGGATGATACCCAAAACCACATTAAATGAATGAATATTTTCATGTGTTGATAAATATTTAGCCTAAGTGCCCTAGTGGCAGGAAGATGTGAAACAGTTATCCGCAATGCTCCAACATCATCTCCTACCAAGATATTGTAAAAAACTGAAAAGGCAGCCTCTTCCTGTAAGCGGGAATCTGATTTCCCACAATGCCATGGAGTGATGGTGTGTTCGGGGCATTATGGGTCATTAAAATGATGGGGATCTTCCAAACCCAATCTCCTGAGATGTAGGACTGAGGGTTCTACAGCTCTTCAGGGACACCATGTGAAAGTCTGTGGTCCTGTTTACACCACATACTTAATTAACCCATTTTCTGGCACTGAACCATAGACTGTCCCCCATGGGCTGGATTCATACAACATGCTAAATCACAAAAAAATTCAGCAAGGCTTCAAGTAAACGAGCTTAGCATCTCGGGTGAATGCAGCTGCTAGGCTTGTAACTGACCTGGCTTAAGCATGTTGCGTGTATCTTCAACCCGATTCTCTCTGCCTGAAATTTCACGTCAGCGATTAAGTTGCATCTCAGCCATCTGCACCCTGCCTGTCCCTTTGCGATTAGGCTAAGCCACCTTACAAGACAGTTGCAAAACTAACAGAGATGTCATGACAATCTGGGTCAATGTATGCGCTTTGCCACATCTTGCAATCGATCTCGTGAACGAGGTGTAAGGGAGGAACACGGGCGCTAATGCAGAATTTCGATCTGTCGCTGCTCTCTTTCTGGAGATATGATGATATTATCAATTGCAGTGGGGAAGTGTATATTAATTTAGTTGATTTATAGCTTGCCTTTCCGCTTAGCTCAAGCAGCTAGCAAAACTCTGTTTGCCTCTTAAAACCAAGATTTAGGCTTTTCTCCTTGAACCACTTTCCAATGCCCTGCAACCCCCTTCTTTCTTTTGGTTTTCAAGTCTTTGATTTCCTGGGAATTTTCGTTTTTGCCTTCTCTGTGGGCCAGCCCGAGATCCTGAATGGATGCCTTGTGATCAAACCCGACGAAAGGAATTGATTTGAGAGAGGAGGATTTGAAAAAGGGACAAAAACATTAAAGCAAATGCTTGATTGGCATGGTCAAATGGAAGAGAGAGAGAGAGAGAGGGGTTGAAACTTGGTTTTCTTTCTTTTTTTAAATCTCTCTTGTAATTTAAGACTCTAACCATGGACTTACATTCCCCAATCTTCCCTTTTTCTTACACCTTACCTACTAAAGGAGGAAATCTTGATTGGTAAGTGGATGCTAACCGCAAGCTAGCAGGATATTAATTATTAGAGGTCACGCAGAAATATTCTACAAGGGGGAAATGGTCTTAACACCATTAACAGAGCAATCTATGTCTGCCTTCTTTCTCTAGAGGAAGTTTTATTTTTCAGTTTGGTTTGGTTTTCCTTATTTCTTTATTTTTTTTCCCTCTCTCTCTCTTTCTCTCTCTCTCTCCCCCTCTTTCTCTCTCTCTGTTTTTAGTTATGATGTCAAACTATTAACATTTGTTGGCTGGATTTTCTTTACTTCATTTCTAAAAAGTCATATTCAGTTTCGGTGGTTATCATCCTATTTCCTTAACAGGGAAAGGTTTTAAAAGATAATCATGTCAGCAGACTCCAGCCAAGGTTAAACCTTCACATACTTGTATGTATTAAAAAAAAAAAAAAGATTAGGAACATTGACCTAGATAAGTATGGTCCCATGAACCTAGACACCAGATCCATCTTATCAAAATCCCATATCCATTTTCCCAAGACCTCACATTCATTTCCCAGGTCCTGGAATGATGTGCAAACTTCACTGTGTTAGTTTTCAGGGTGGTGTTTGCAACTGGGGAGAGCAGGAATTATTAAGGTGGTGCTTCTGATCTACCCCAAGCCATCGGCTGCTAATGTTCCAAGCCATAGGTGATGTCATACAATTTCACATGATGGCTTGGGTGCCCCACCCTAAAATTGCCCCAGATCTCATGAGGTTTTGCAAGATCTGTAGAGGAGTACAGAGATGGCCTTGAAGAAGGGATTCAGTACCATTATGTAAACCTTAACTTAGCCCAGAGAGACAGTAGGAGGTGAGAAAGAAACTCAAGATTGCCCTGCCTTGATTCTCTTGATGTCAGCCCTTCAAGGTAGATCAGACTAGGAATCCAACTCTCTTCATGAGAACTAGGCAGGGTCTTGTCTGAGATGTTTACTCAGGTTACATACCTGCCCCAGACTCAGACCTCTTTTATCTGACCTTTGTCTAAGTAGTGACTTTTCCTCCAGTACGTCAAGGCCATTCCCTTTTCCCTCTACACTTGAGTATAAGAGGGAAGAGAGAGAATCTCTGTCAAGCTTTCAAGATACTGTTATTATACCCGATAACAATAAGAGTTCCAGTAGTCCATTAGATAGTTCATGTCCTTCCTGAACTGGTCTACCTTGGAGGGCTGACAGAATACAAACCCAGCAAACTGGGCTACAGCTTATGCATTACTGATTCCGGCAGACGTGTTCAGACAACTCTTCCACTGCGGTTGAGTGGAACCTCCAGAAGTTCTTAAATTTGGCTGGATGGTGCCAGTAGGATTTTTGTACCATTTTGTCTGATTTCTAAACTAGATGTCTTTTTTCTTGTGACAATCTATTTCTATTGCTTCTTTTTGTCTCTTTTAGTTTGCTTAAGATTTTTTCTTAAATTTTCTTAATCTCCTTTGGTTTCTACATTTAAAACAAAAAAATACACAGAGACACTTTTTTTCAACATGGACCGCATGCTTTTAGTATTCTTTGCATGACTTAAAAACCTTCCAATTATATCTGGGGGAGAGAGAGAAAAAAGCAACATGTGCATTTCTTTCTTTCAGGGAGATGTGGTTTGAGTTCAAACTCTTTTCTTTGTTTTCTTTCTTCCTTTCTCCTTTCTTCCTTCTGCTTTCTTCTTTCTTCCTTCTTTTCCTTTGATTACGGACTGTGCATCATAATGGTAAAAAAATAAAGACATGAGAATAGCAAAATAAAAAGGGTGAATTTGACAAGCAAGTGAATAGGGCCCAACGTCTTACACGCATTACCCCATTCTTGGGATTTTTCTTTTCTTTCTTCTTGTTAAGTCGATTAAACACTGGGAAAACATGGCTCTTTTTGCTTACAGATCTCAAATTCTGGGTCGGCTGCTGGCCTCTTTAAAAAAGCAGCGGGTCAGTTGGGGAATCGAATCAAACAGAATGGAGATCCCCACGAATATGACTCGGGCAATGCAACTTCTTCCCCTCCGTCTATTCAGACAAGCACATCCAGGTCAAAAGGCAGCCAAGAAGCGAGGGGTCAAACCCACAATGGCTTCGCCCGGGCCTTCTCTTCTGGGAAGGCCAGCAGTGTCAGCAGTCCTGACTCGGGGAACTCATTCCGCAGCTACAGCTCCCAGTCGAAAGGACCAACTTTGGAAGAACCAAGCCCATCTCCACTGGGTCTGTGCAAAGATCAAAAGTAAGTAGTCATCTTCATGAGATACTTTCCATCTCCAAAGTCCTGTGCAACCTCAGAAATCTTTAGTTTTGTCCCCCAATTTGCCACCAAAAGGGTTACAGGTAATCCTCATTTAGCAGCCACAATTGGGACCAGCAACTTGGTCATTGAGTGAAGCAGTCGCTAAGTGAAACCACAACCATGCTTACGATCTGACTTCAGCTTTCCATTGCTTTACAGACCTGCGAAGGTCATCAATGCAAGGACTGGTCGCAAGGTGACTTTTTCATCACCATTGTAACTGAACGGTCGCTAAATGAGGACTACCTGTATTTTTTTAAGTTATAAAAGTTCAGGGGCGTCTGCAGAAAAACAGGACATGATACCCAGCCCTGCCCTATGGTGATGGCATTGCACAAGCCCCTCTTTAATATGCCTGCATTGTGATACCAGTGTGAGGTGCATCATAACATCACTGTGAAAGTTCATCTTGTTCCTTGCTTACTGGAAAAAAAATCAAGCTATCCATCAAACTTCAAGCTATGCCAGAATAGGAAGGTAGAGGTATGAATGCTACTTCTACTATTGATACAAGGTTACAGTAACAGTCTCTTGCAAGTCTGAATGTGCTTCTCCCCTCCTTCCCTTTATCTTCATGAGAACTAAGGAGGGTCTGGTCTGAGACGCTTTCTCAAGTTACATTTCTGCCCCGGACTCAGATTTCTTTTATCTGACTGTTGTCTTGGTTGCAGCTCTTCCTCCTGTTCCCCAAGGTTATTCCTTCTTCCCATTAAATCCAGTTGACTTGTTCTCAATTATGGGTGAAAGTAGATCGGCTACAGCCTCCTATCTCTGAACTGATTGTTGCTGACAAGGAATAATTAACATGCCATTTTTAATTTTAGTTATTTTTGCTACCCTCTGCTTGCTTTTTAAAAAAAATCTGGAAATCAGGGTATGTCAGTTGACCTCATTGGCTATAAGTTCATTGCCTCCCTTAAATGACTTAGGGTTACTTGCCAACCCAATAGCGACATGGGGAAATGGAAGTGCTGATCAAGAGTCAACAAGAAAGAGACTAGAGAAAGTTGGGAGATAATAATTTATACCCAGAACACCCCAAATTCAGTCTCTGGCATGAGCAATGCTTGTCAGGGTTTTGCTAGTAGCTAGAGGGCAGGAACACAGAAATGTAAACAGGCAATTGACATTTGCAAGCGAGTACAGGAAATGAAAGGCCAGATTAATGTTAGGAAGAGAGAAGTGCAAGAGAAGACACTGCATCTGAAGCCAAAGGAGATACATCTGCAATCAGCTTTAATGGGTCAATGACTATCAACTGTTTTTAAAGGCTACCATTCTTGAATTACAATAAATATATTGTCCATAGCCACGTTGTCTTGAGTCTCTCAAATTCCAGGTTGTGCCTGCCTTGGGGGTCCTGACAATCATCCATGCATTAGAAGAAAGGCATGAAATTTTAAACAAACTACTAACATAAATCTCTATCAACAGGTCAGATAGCATGAGGTTTTTCAGCATAGGTCATCTCTCAGGAAGACTTGAATTTGGATTTCTGCACTGAGCAGGAGTTGGACTAGATGGCCCCAAGGGAACTTTCTCATTCCAGGGTTTTATGATTCTAGTAGGAAAGTCCCCCTTCCCCAACATTGATTTTGGATTCCCTGGGTACCAGGAAGGTCTAAAGCTGCATGTTACCTCCAGCTCACTTTTTTGTATCCTCTGAAGCTCACTGCCCTACAGCCTGGCTACACTGCTAAATTTCAGTGGTGAGATGAAACATGACTGTGGTTTCTTGCCTCTTTGTGGTGCAAACACACAAAAAAGTTATATAGCATCACATAGAATAGGGAAGGAAGGAAGGAAGGAAGGAAGGAAGGAAGGAAGGAAGGAAGGAAGGAAGGAAGATCCTAGCCTTGTTTGTGTGTGTGATATGGCTTCCCTGCCTTCTGTTCTATCAACCATAGCCTCCTCACTACAAAAAAGTTGAATATCCTAAAAGGAGCTCCTAAAAAAATCTCCTAGCTCCTAAAAGGATGCCTCATCCTTCCTGAAGCGTACAGCTAAA